ATAAACATTAAATTCTAGTAACAATAGTAAAAGAAAAGATGCGATAGATGACTAATTTAATCACCACTATAAATTTATATTTTATCCTTATTTTATTTCTTATTTTGTAACAATATTTTAATAATAAACTTTTTACAATTTTTCGATCCTTGTTAAATGGTGATATTCCGAAGTATCATTTTGGTTAATTAACAATTATTATGGCTTAACTTTTGGGCTACTCTCGTCAGTTAATAACTTACAAATAATTCGATGACTTAGTTTACAAATTTACATTGGCTCCCTCTTTCTTGCACCTAGACGAATCTGTGAGCATACTTAATGGTATAAATAAATAAATATGTTCTTTTACAAAGCTCAGGGGCTTCTTTTATTCACTTGTAATCGATTTATTTTAGTCATTTACCCTCATTTACATTTATTGACCGATTGCAAACTCGCTTTAGTTTACTTGCAAAACAACTCAAGTAGCTTGTTTAACAGCCTTACATTTACGATTACAATAATAATACCAGTATTTCCGATTAACTTTTGGACAATACTTCATTAACCCTCACTAGTTAACCAACATTAGTCCAAACCTTTGCTTGTTCATTAAAGCAAATTACGTTACTAACACTCACTAGTTAACCAACGTTAGACTAACCTTGTTGCTTGCTCACTAAAGCAAATAAACGTGGCTTTTTACCAAAGCTCCATAATTGTTACCTCCTACTAAGAAACTAATTACACTTGCTGCTTTTATCAAGACACTTTAAACAAAGAAAATAAAGACAATGTTTTTATTTTATTAGAATGTTAATCATCTATTATTTTCCTTTACGAGGATTCGAAGTTATGCTTTTTCAAACAAAGACCAGAATGAAACTTTCATTGATCACTACAATAAGGATAAAGATAAAGATGGGTTTATTATTGCAAAGTAACTTAATCAATATTATAAAAACTTCCACACTGTAATTTGATGATAATTATAAAAAGCTTTTGCGTAGAGTTTTCATATAATAATTACATTAAAATTAGTTGACTCTGGAACATAAAGCACCGAATCCCTAATCAATGATTTATCTACCTCGACCATGTATCACGTTATAAATGAGTGTGTGGGAACTGAATTTGTATTCAGAAAAAGAAAAGGAGAGATTGAGATACACAAGAAAATAATCTTGGAATATATTTATATTTTATTAGCCTTTAAAGCAATTTTATTTACGTCATTTTGACTTAATGGCAGCAAATTTGACGTAATAGTTTTACAAATTTGGTAACATTTCATCAAACAACATTAGCTACCAGAATTGATATCACGTTTAATCAATCTTTGATACCAAGCTTATTGATTCTGTTGCGTATAGGTTCTCTTTGATAGCTATGTCAACACAATTTTAAGGCGAACAATCTTGGAATTTGGCAAAAATGCGCTTTCAGTTATCTGTAGTTTGTCAAAGAGTATGGCTTACTGCTTAATGAAAGTGTAGATTTCTATATGCAAGTCAAAAATACAACTATCGTCTATCTTAATCATTCATAAGTTGAAACAACAACTAAAATATATATTCAATGAGTATTTGAAGATTTCGGTCATATAACAAAGTAGAACTAAAAAATTTGGATTCTTCTGGTCAATTAGAAATAAATTATTCCATATGATAATATGCAGTGATTTGATACCTTTACCAGTTTAGAAAATCCATAAACAGCAAATCAATTACGATTTAGTAAAAAATAATAATGGAATCGTGCGTGATAATGTATTTCTTTGCTGTTCGTTACCCTCTCCACACACAATTATCCATTTGACGATTTCTAGTTACAGTGTGATCTAAAAAAAAAGGTGGTTTCGGTATAAAATTATTTTGAAGTTATTAAAAAGATTCTCATTTGTTTACATGATAAATGTGATTGTTTTCATGATAATCAATGTTTGTATATCGTCCTTTCTTTTTTTTCTTTATTTTTAATCTTCAAGTTTTATAAGAATGGTTAACACAAAATTAGAAGCAAGACGTAACAATTTTGGATGAATAGTATCCATTCACCAAAAGAAAACAAACATACCCTTCGTACCATTGAGAATAACTGGCTATATTGAACATAAAGGTCACCCATATAAAATTACACGAAACTTGTCACGTTTTATTGGACATATTCGCCGTAATATATAATTGTTAGTCGAAACGTTTTGATCTTTGTTGAAACATTTTACCATTCGACATTTGGGCATGTCGAAGGTCCAAATATTTGTCAAAAGTCTAAAGTGATATCGAAAGCCTAAATTGATCATGTCAAAAAGATAACTTCAAAAGTCCAAATTGATGTCGAAAGTCCAAATAATCTCAAATGCCTAAATGCTATTGAAACAAAATGCCTAAATGTTGTCAAAATTATGCCATTTTCAGGTATTGATTGAGTGCTACAGCCGGTGCAGTTCAATCATTTAAACAGTATCAAAAATATTAAAATATCTTATTATTTTTTATTTATAAAAAAAATTTTAATGGCATAAAAATTAAAAAAGATGAAACACAAACTTTATATGCTAAATCATTTATCTAGTTCATTCTGTAAACTTTGTACAAATGCTTGCTCAAAATTCATCTTCATCGAATTCATTATCTTCATCATTATCATTTTCATCATTTTTGGAACCCTTATCTTCATTGCCAAATTCAAGATTAGTAAAATAATAATTGTTGATAAGTTCTTCTAAATCATTAGTTTCAGCTATCAAAGCAGCTTCTTAAAACCTCCCAATAAATTCTAGTCCCTTATAACAATCTTAGGAATAATTCGCAAAAATCACAAACTTTATATTTTTTTATAATAAAGATTGAATTTTGGAAAAAAAATTTTAAATTTCCTTGGAGATCGTTATATCAATGATAAAAAATGAATGCAATTTGATATTTTTAGTGAACTTACAATTAATCAGCTAATTTCAAAAAATGCATTATTTATTAAAAAATTGGCTCCATTCTCAAATTTACTAATATTATTATTGGGGCGCAAATAGTCAGTTTTATTAATATTAATATTAATTATTTAGACTTTATCAATTTAGAATTTCAGCATCAATTTAGGCTTTTGACAATATTTAGACTTTCAACATTTCGACATATTTAGACATTACTATTACGGCAAATCCAGTGACCTTGTCAAATATATTTCGACAGTCGAATGTTTGTCAAAACTATACCTTTTGACTAACAACTCCAATGCCACTGAACTCTGGACTAAAATTCCAGACGTAAAAATGAATGATAAGAGATATTTGTTTTATCATCTTAACTTAACCGGTCCTTTCCAATTTTGCCTTGTTCACTTTCATCAAGCTGTAAGACATACCCAAGCGGACAAAACTGTGTGAATATTTATAGTAATGTAATTATTTGGACATTTATTTTTACTTTTGCTTGCTATTGGACGTGCTAAAGAAATTTCCCATATATGAATGTAAAATTAAATTTGAATTTAAGGCTGAGATTATTTTTGGTTTTGTAAACAATTTGCTTCAAAATTTTTCTTAAAGCAGATACATGATAAAGAAGTTATGTGTGGCAATGGCTACCAAATAAAACTCCCATTGACCTGCAGGACATTTTCAAGTGATTTTTCTCTCTGTAAAAAGAAATTAGATTCAAAACATATAGATATGTTTTATTACATCAGTGAGTATTGTTGTACATTTTACATGTCCGTGTAATTTTTTGACCGTGTCCGCGGATGTCAGAACTTTTATCTGGCCGATTTTTTTTTTTTTTATCGCATCAATAAAGCTGGTTGATTTATCATAAACAATCATGTTTATTTTTTTACATGTATTTCCGTAATTTATTATAAACTTCAGTGTTGGCTCTTCCAACTATGATCATCTCCATTAGAAATTAATAGAGCTGATACTTCAAAAAGAGTTGACATTTTCAAAGAAGCATGTCTCTTGAGTTTGAAGTTTCTTTTCTCCGTTCTCCTTTCTCATCACATTGCTAACCTTTTTCTTATTTTGCGTATTCAGGAAATTACCAGTTTCTATATCTTCTAATGATTAGACTTGAACAGATATTGGAAGAAATTTTGGATAATAATAATGTATCATCAGCCCATGCGGACAATTTCCGAAAGGTTATACCTTTATCCCTCAGTTCGTAGGGATAAAGCCTCAGCCTGGGAAATCATACAAGAGGGATATCCCCCCTTATCAATCTTATCGATCTTTGGATAATTCACTCAAGATCTATGGAACAGGTGATCAGAGATATATCCGTGTATTTATATTTATCCCTCGCCAGGCTAAAGCTGTATCCCTCTGAACACAGGGATAAAGGTGTAACCTACCCGGAAATCGTTCGCATATGGTGCGTATCATATAGAATACAATCTCCTAATTCATATGTAGCATACATTATAATTTCGTAACTTTGGCTATCAGCTCATCGTTTTCGGCCTTGGGTTAGTAGTATCTATTTTATTTTTTTCTGGCTCCTCGATTCTGGCCTTTAATTCAACATTCTCAGCTTCATGTTTGGTATATCCCCTTTCACGGCTCGTTTTAGCAGTTCAATATTCTTCACTTCAAGCTCGACCTTTTCAGCTTCAAGTTTAGAAGTTCACTGTTTTAATAAACCTTAAATTGCATATTTATTATTTATTTAAATGCGTAATAGCCTGTCATCAAAAATTCTAAAAAAAAATTACTATTACGTTTACTAAAATCGAATAAAGATATGTATCCAAACAACATTACGCAATCGAATTGTCAAATATGAAAAAAATAATTATAATAATCATTGATACAATGTGTGTCTAACAAAATCTTTATTAACATAAATGTCAATAGATTTATTTTGCTAATAGAGAATTATAAATGTCAATCATTTCTTTTGTTTTTTTGACTGATTATTTTGCTTTTTTGTTCTATCAGGAGTTGGTGGATTTGGTATTACCGTATGAACCTTCCGCTTGGAAAGTAATATCATTTTTTGTTCGGTACGTGATTCGACTTTTTTGATGTTGTCTTTCATGAAGGACTGAACATAAATAATTATTAGCAAAAGACAATGAATAAGTGAAACAGAATCAATCTTAAATGACACTCACAAAAAATTTCAGACATGAAATTATTGCTTCAGATAAGGCGGGAAGATCTTGCCATGTTGTGGGTATACGAAAACTGCATATTCACGTAAACAATATGATTTTAGGTGTATCATGCACCAAAACAGAGACACTTCATCACGATGACCAAAAGCCCCAAAACTCGCCAAGTTATTGTAATCTTTTATACCATTGTTTAGCCGAAGAATTATTCGTTGATTCAGCACATCGCGCATAGTTCGAACCAACCTATAATCGTGGATGTAAAAATCAGTAATATCATCAACATCTGGCGATCCTGTCTGTTCATACACAAATATTTCTTCCTGGCTTTGCCACAGGCGAGCCAAGCCATCTGCACGCTTTGCGCTCAAAATTTTATCAATAAATGGGTTGATATTAAAGTTACGTCTATATTTGCTACTGCTGATTGGAACCTCGAGGCTATTAACAGATAATAACAATGTCAACCATTACAAATGAATACTTTCATGGTGTGGATAAATCGAATTCACTTACATTCTCCAATCCAAGTCACAAATAGCCTTGAGTGTATTTTTTAAAATGGGATTTATAAATTGTGAGTTATATTGTTTTTCCTCCAAGTCACCAGATTTCAGTATGTTAAACGGTGCTTTAAAAGCTTCGATACTAAAAGAAAAAAAAATACAATCAAGATATTATATCACTAAGTATAAAAACACAAAAACATCATAAAAGTCCAAACGTACTATGGGGAGAGTATATTATGTAATGTATCTTTTATCACCAGATCTTCAATATTTTTTCTTGTGTTGAAAATTCCACACCAGGCTTTCTCCCATTCGGTTAGAGTATCTTTTGGCTAATTGATAAACAAAAAAGATTGGTTGATTCAAAAAATAGTTCGATATTTCTTATAATATACACGTACCTTGAAGAAATCTCATATTGAATTTTCCCATTTTTCTGATATTTTATGATTAGGATATGTATCCAAGATAAATTTCTCCCACGTCACTTCAGGAATAATCTTTGCCAATCGTGAAGTGGGTCTCAAATCCATAATGTCGCTATTGCATAAACTAATAACAAAAACAATGAGTAAAACAAATTCATATAATTTTGGGTGTTGATTTTACTTACTCAAATTCATTTGCACATTCATCACGGTATTTTTCAAAAGTTTCTTCCAAATCAACATCATCTACTTTCAATCTGTCACTTTCCACTTTTCCAACCATAGACTCCACTGCCTTTTGTAAACAATTATCCATACCATTGGTTATAATATCATTGTTATCATCTAATAGTTCATTACAGTTGGATCTTTTTTGCACTTCATGATAGTTTTGACTTTCTGGCACCCACGATACAGAAGTGGCTTGAATGTTGTTATTTTCTGTTATTTATAAGAATGTTTAGCGATATCAACTTTGTAGTGGTAAATAATTTGAGCTAAACATACCATTTTGCATAATATTAAATTCTGCATCAGAATATTCCTGCAATCCTCATTGTGCTACTTTAAATCCCTCTTTTGTTATTTGGCGTACAGCTCGTCTTCTCTCCTTCTGTTGTAATAAAATTTAAATACAAAGCTATTAGATGCATTAAAGATTAATGAATACTTGCCTTATCAATTTCCAATTTCAAGTCAATTATATTAGAATCTATCTTTAATGAAACAAGTTGATCTGCATTCTCCCAAATCTTGACATTCTGAATGTCATCTTTCTATATATAAAAAAAAAGATAATCAGGTCAATTGTGCATTCTTAGAGTAATAGATAGAAAGTTTACAAAGTGTCATGGATGCTCGTCCTAACCAAACGTTTTCATGTCCACACACCAGCGGTGCTACCCGTCGGTTTTTACGCAGCGCTAAAAACCATCTCAACCAGCGGTTGCCAGATAAGATATGAAGTACTTCAGTTACGTTTCAATAGCCACACACCAGCGGTGCTACCCATTGGTTTTTATGCAGTGTTAAAAACCATCTCAACCAGCAGTTGCCGGATTAACTACTGAGTACGCTGGCACTATCAACCTGTATATAGTTACTTTCCTTTAATCCTTTCTGTAGGTCACAGACTTTCTTATAAGCTGGACTCATGGTATCGAATATATTCTTTAGGTTAATCAACTCTTCTGATAAAGATGAGTGGGAGTTGCATTTATTAACTGCCACGAGTTGTGGTTGCATAACCCAGTAAGAATCCCAATCGTTTATGTCTCCCCAGACGCTAGGATCTCGATCCCAATAATCTATTGACCAAAGTTTGTATTCTTTATTTGTTCTAATTGATAAAAATAAAAACAGACATGATAGACTCACCTGGATATTTCAGTTTTAGACGATCTTCTCTTGACAAATGCTCCATATCGAATGAAATTGTGCTTTTTTTAAAAAAAAAAAATAAACGCGTGTCAGAAAAATTATTAAATCGTGTAGTTTATTTTTTTGTTGATCAATATTTATCATAACAAATAACAATAAAATTTCTGGTGACCCGCCAGCAGGGCTGGAAATAGTAATAGTAATAGGGTCTGAAAAAAACGGAAATTCCTCCTGAATGCTAAGAATTTTCCAGAAGAAAAATTTAAAAAAAGGAAAATTTTTTGGGTGCTAAAATTTTTTTCAAATTTAAGAATTGTCTTTATTTTATACTTCTGTTTTTAATTTAAGAAGATTACTAAAAGCATCACTAAAATCATAACATAATAAATCAGTACATTCTAAACCAACCATCATTAATAAGTGCAATATGTCATTTTCCATTGCATTACATGAATCTGTTTTGTTTGCTAAAACTCTTTCACAATCTACACTAGAAAATGGAATTGAGTGCACTATTTCTATAAGTTTTAAAATATAAATAAGACTTGGAGGTTTGGAAATTGGAATATTTCCTTTTGCAATCCAGTAAATCATTTTCATTATATTAATTATATGTTTGTTACCATTAGTGGTTTTTTTTGGAAGAATCTTGTATGGTTATTCTAGAAGCAAAGAGTCATTATGTTGGTTTGAAAGTGCATGAGTTGCTAAAGTGGTAGATTTTGAAACACTCTTTGATCCCAAATAATAACATTATAATATTAGTGATTTAAGAATTGCAAAATGCAAAATTAATTATATTTATTTGTCACCTTTTCCTGCAAATAGATTTTTTTCCCATGTGCTTTACAAATTGTGCAAAATATTCTCTTCATTGCTGCATCATATTTTAACCATTTATATATGTTTAGCCATTCATGCTTAAAACCTCTTCCTGATTTTTAAAATGCTCTTTTTTATTTGACATTTTAATATGATTTTCACTTAATTCACTTTTTATTTGATTTTTTTGAAGTATCATCATCATCTGAGCCTTGAATTGTCAAATCATCTGAACCTTCTATATCTGATTCATCAATTTTTATTTTATCTATAAAATGCTTCACCCAAATTTCAGTAGCCAAATTATCTGATCCTTCTTATTCTATACTATTTATTTATAATTTATTTTTTTGAATAAGGGAAAACAAATACATATAAATTCATATTTAAGCATATATATTTTTTTCTAAAATATTGAAGTAATAACACCCATATATGTACAGTATACATTATTTAATATAAAATTTTTTTATGTGGAAGGAAATCTGTACAAAAAAAAAAAAAAAAATGGAAAAAAATCCAGCAACTCTTTTTTTTTCCAGAAGTTAAAATTTTTTAAAGAAAATCCGGATTTTCAAAGTACTATTTCCAGCCCTGATGTCAAGTACAAGATATTATAGAACACCAAGAAAAAAATAAAAAAATAAAACATACATATACTGCTGCTTCTAGTTGTACAATATTCTGAGTTCAAGTTCCGAAGCTTTTATTTCCATAATAATAATGCAAAGGAGTTTGTTATGTTGCTTGATGGAACAGGAGAGAACGTCCTATATAAGGAATGGATTTTCACAATTGATTTCAAATTTTTTTATACAGTTTAAAATACTTTTACAAGGGTATCATGTAGCCCATTCTTACAATAAATCATGTGCAAATAATT